GTATTTGGCACCTAGGAGGTGCTCAATAGATAGTAGATGTTACTACTATCGTCATTGTCATTTTTTTTTTAAAGATTTTATTTATTTTTATTTGACAGAGAGAGAGACAGTGAGAGAGGGAACACAAGCAGGGGGAGTGGGAGAGGGAGAAGCAGGCTCCCCGCAGAGCAGGGAGCCCAATGCGGGACTTGATCTCAGGACCCTGGGATCATGACCTGAGCTGAAGGCAGTCGCTTAACCAACTGAGCCACCCAGGCGCCCCAGTTGTGCAGTTTAAAAGAAATGATATTGACTGCATACATATTAGAATGGCAAAAAAAAAAAAAAAAAGAGAGAGAGAAGAAAAAGAAAAAAAGAAGACAATCCTAGTGCTGGCAAGGATTCAGAGAAAGTGGGCTTCTCATTTGTTGCTGGTGGAAATGCAGAATGGTATAGTCATTTTGGAAAACAGGTTGCCAATTCCTTATGAAGTTAAACACACACATACCTTATAACTCAACAATCCCAGTGGTTGATATGAACTCAAGATAAATGAAACCTTATGTTTACACAAAAACCTTAAAGCAAATGTTTATAGAAGCTTTATTGATTGGACTTGCCAAAAATGGGAAACAAGCCAAATATCCTTCAACTAAATTGATAAACTGTGGTACATCCGTACAGTAGAACACTACTAAGCAGTAAGGAAAGAACTACCAATACATTCAACATGATGAAACTTAAGTGAATTATGCTAAATGAAAGAAGTCAGGCTCAAAAGACTCTATATTTTATAATTCCATTTATATCACAACATGAAAAATGCAAAACTATTAAGAAAGAAACTATACAGATCAGTGGAGGTTGAAGGCTGAGTTTGGGGGATGGAACCGACTATAAGGATGCATGACAGAATTTTGGGAAGTGATGTAACTGTTCTGTCTTGATTGTCTGGTGGTTCTATGACTGTGTGCTTGTCAGAACTCACAGGTTTGGACACTATAAAGAGTAAATATATATTCTATGTAGATTATACCTAATAAACCCAACTTCTAAACAAAATCAATTACTGTGCAAGCAAACATTCATCTTTCACTTAAAAAGAATTATCGATCATTTACTATGTGAACCAAAGATGGGTAAGATTCTAAAACATTACATAGTAGAGTGTCTCTGTTGAGCCACTTAAATTGTATCTTATCTGTACATTAATCAGCCTAAAATCTTCCAATGGCTTTTCATTGCAATGAAAACAAAATTTTCATTCCTGGTATTGGCTAGCACAAACAGGCTACCACCTACCTTTCTAGTATTTTCTCCGACTCCTCTAAATCAGCCAGCCAGGTTCCAGCCACACTGATCTTCTTCTGTTGCATGATTCTGTCATTCTGACTTCTGTCTTGGGCCACTAAACTTATAATTCTCTCTACCTACAATGCTTATTTCCACAAATCTCCCTAAGGCTACCTCTTTCTCATTATTGGTCTCACTCACTTATCTTTTCTTCAGAGAGGTCTGTAGCTAAAGTAGCAACCACCATCTCCACCCCATTTGCTCTCTATTCTTCTCCTGTGATTTATTTTTTTTATCATTCTTATCACCATCAAAAGTAGTGATTTTTAAAAATTTCTTTATGTATGTTATAGACTGAATGTTCATGTCCCTCCAAAATGCGTATGTTGAACTCCTTTCAATGTGTCTGTATTTAGAGATGGAACCTCTCTAGAAGAAATTAAGGTTAAATGACGTCAACAGCGTGGGGCCCCAATCTGATAGAATTAGTGTCCTTATAAAAAGGGACACAAGAGAACTTGCTCTCCGAAAGCCTGGGTGAGGACATAGTGCGAAGGCAGTCATCTACCAGCCAGGAAGAGAGTCCTCACCAGAAACTGAGTTAGCCAGACCTTGATCTTAGACTTCTAGCCTCCAGAACTGTGAAAAAATAATTTTCGTTGTTTAAAACCACCTAAACAATGGTATTTTGTTATGGCGGTGGAGCTGACTAATACAAGGTACTATTGACTACCTTCTCCCTCTGGATGTCAGCTTTGACAAAATTGAAGACACACTGGCTTTATTGCCTAGAATAGAGCCTAGGACATAATAGATACTTAAGAACCATAGGTTGAATGAATGAATGAATGCAAAGAAGCTTAGGGAAATAAGTAGTGATTTCAGTATAGGACGGCCAATGCCAAGATGGTGGGAGCATAGAAGATGGGTTCCTGAGCCAGTAGAAAGCTGATAGGTGAGAACCCAAAGAGAGGCCAACATTACATGTTAGTAAATGTTCAGTGGAAGCTTAATCAATGCTTGCTTTCTAAGCATGCGACAGTACTAGCAACTAGGGAAAAAGAGTCCTTTCTACAAAAATCATGATTTGCACTTAAAAATCCCCTTTAGGTCTTATCCTTGACAGATCTTATTTATGTGGAAGTGAACAAAAAGACTTATTTGGGGCTCATAATGACCCCATTCCACCACGGCTATTCCATGATCACTCCACAAACAGTCTTTCTTATTCACTATGTGGTGGTTTAACTTCTCTTAGAAATCCAGTTTCAGCCTCTCCCATCAATGGAATGAATCATGCATCTCACTTGAGCGTGGCTTGTTTACTTTGCAAAATGTACCAACTGAAGTATTAAAAGTGAAGGCAATGAGAACTGGATTGACAGGCAGAATTTACAGGAAATTTTATGGGGAAAATGGAGAAGAAACATAAAGAAACCAGCCAACTAAACTGATACTTACAAAGGGAACCCTTGGGGGAAAATTTAATGCATTTTTTTTCTATATGCTCTAATCCTATCCAGCACACAAGAATGATATTTCATCCTTACCAGCAAGTTCCAGTACTGCCACTCAAGTCACAGAGTTATTTAGAATGGACAATGTACTGGGAAGAAGAGACTCAGCACACCATCTTGATCCCCTAATTCTGGTAGTCTGAAATAAGTTCTTCCCAAATCCAAACATAAACTGGATGAATTTACAGGGAAACCCTTGCTTAAACCATGACAAGAAAGGCTGCTATTGCGTCTGAGGCATAGGGGTACCATATCTAAAGAAAATGCATCAGGCCAGGCTCTATGAGAGAGAACTGTAGGATGAGTTTCCCAATCCCTCCACTTCTTCTCAGTCCCTGCCATGTATCTGTTAGGGTTTTAAAAACACTCCCACATGGCCATGACATTAAAAAAACAAAACAAAACAAAACAACATCCAAAGGGATGCTTTAGGCATAGGTATTATTGGGGAACAGGAAAGAGAAAATTGACAGAACATTTTAGCCATAATAACAAAGCTTAGGTAATCCTAAATATGTGACTTTATGTTTTTATATCTCATAATATATGCATTATGCCTTGAAAGTGCTATTATAGAAAACTGGGAATGAATTCTTAAACTATTTTCCTGGGAATAGTTTACTCTTTTAAGACACACACATGCACATACGCACATACACACATAATTTTTTTGCTAAAATTCACATACTATTATGTGCATGGTAAGTGTTCCTTTTATAATTTGTCCAGTGGTCCTAAACTAGAAGTGATTTTGCTCCTCAGGGAACATTTTTGGTGACAGGATCTGGAGATATTTTCGGTTGTCAGTGTGTGGGCTCTTACTGGCATCTAGTGGACAGAGGTCTGGGATTTTGCTAAACATTCTACAATACAGGGCAGCTCCCACACGAAAAATGACCTGGTCCACCATGTCGTAGTGTTGAGGATGAGAAACCTTGCCTTAGGAATATGAACTAGTTGCTTCTGGAGAGATTTCATTTGAACAAAACACCAAATGCCACAGTGGCTAAGAGAGTTAACTTAGTATGATCTATCTATAGAACTCTAAGCTGGCCTTTGAAAAACTTAATATTTTTAAGGAATGCAAAGAGTTACTTGGTTCTCTGGCACTTAAAGCAAGTGGGCTCCAGAAGTTCAGAATATGCAAGTCTAGGTCACTAATAGGACATGACTTCGCCTGCAGGAAAGTCATCTTCAGGGGATTTGGCAGTCAGTAGTAATATGGTGAAATCTTATTTCATTGACAATAAAAATAACATGAATATATCAATAACCCCAGGGTAGAATGTTTTTTACTGAAGAAAACCACACAAAATCCTATTTGCTCACTGAAATCAACAGTCCTGGCTCGTCTTTCATGTCCACAGGCAATATTGTTAGAGACAGAACCATGAACGCTATCCTCAGGGTAACACTATAGCACAAGATTAGTAAGTTATTAGTCATTTTTATTGTAATACCACCATATCCTTCACATTAGATTCATTTCCTAGTGTAATAAGATAAGGTTTCTGTATCACTTAATATCAAATGCCCATATACAACAGCTGGCAAACCAGTGCTATAGAAAACATTTTTTCCATGCCCCTCCCAAGAAAATACATTTTATTCAAATAAAACAATCCAAGAGGCTTTTACACAGCAGCTCGTACTGAAAAGGGCACTGGAAAGATGAGATTTTGTATATGGGGAGTGATTATTTCCTACCTCCCACACTCATATTTGCAAGTGATGGAATTTCATATTGGACTGCTAAAAAAGCAATAGGGCAGTAGTAATAACAAATTGTAGACTTATGCCAGATGGTTCTGAAAGAAGAATAGGCATTTTTATTCTTGTAAGTTAGCCTAGAGTAAAAAGTACTAAGGTTTCATTTTTCCATTGTGATCCAGACACTTCTTCACCATAAACTTCAAAGCCTTAGATAGATGTGACATTGAACTAATTTTTTTGAAAGCAATAATTTGGATAGATTCAAGCAGACGACAGAACTGACATTTTCTACTGTCTCAGTTCAAACAGGATAGATTCACCATGGTTGGTATTTATAAATGTTTGTTCTTCATTAGCTAAAGTTGAGCTCAGTTTGGGAGTATTTATTTCAATTTCATGTTGCTGTGTTAATGCAGAGGTTATGGAATTCTGAACATATTTAACTTTTGACACAATTTAAGCTACTAGCTACAACCCAGCCACATACTCAGAAAACCCTGGGGCTTAGTACACTTATGGGAATCCACAGGGTCATAAAATATGTTCTTTAGCTATGATGTGGGGCATCTCTAAGAGGAAATGTTCATGTCAGTGCTCCATCAATAAGTCTTCCTAATCCCTCATTAGAACACAAGTGCCTCTTCTTTGTGGTCCTACGATATTAATTTTCTTTTCTTTTTGAAAAGAATATAAAAATATAAACAGTGAAAAATAAGTCTCCCTCTTTTCCCTACTTTGCAGTTCTTGGTTGACCCTCCTCAGTGAACTACTGTCCTCATTTCTTTTTTTTTTTTTTTTTTAAAGATTTTATTT